CAGATGGCTGACCCCAGGGGGAGCTCTAGAGTGAGAAAAATCCCGCCCCGCCCCCCTGCTATTTTCTTACAGGGCTGCCACCAAGCTTGTTATCGTTGCCGTTGTTGCTGGGGATTCTGTCTCATGGCAACCCCGCAGGTGCAGAGTGGGGCTGCTCCACAGGGTCTTCAGGACTGTGGGGAACCAAAGTAAAAGTCAAACCTCGGGCTTTGTTGTGTCCATCTTGTTATAGAGTCATGAAACGTTCCACATATACATCTATACCATTTATTGTTTACACAAAACACGTCTCGTTGCAAAATAGTACTATGATTACTAGACCTATTTTCAAACCACCAGGAACACCGTTGTTGTTGTTGTTGTTGTTGTTAGGTGCAGTCAAGGCGGTTCTGACTCAGAGACCCTATCCTCCACAGAAAGAACTGCGGCTGAGCCCTGCGCCACCCTCGCAATTGTTCCTGACTTTGAGAGCACCGTGTTGCAGCCGCTGTGTCAATCCATCTTGGGGGGGTCTTCCTCTTTTCCGTTGCCCCGCTACTTTCCTGAGCAGGGTGTTGTTTTCCAGGCTCCCGCGTGTCCTGATAACATGTAAGCACGTGAGCTGAAGCCTCACCATCTTTGCTTCTAAGGAGCAACCTGACTAGACATCTTCTAAGAAAGATTGGTTTGTTCTTTTGGCAGTCTATGGTACTTTCAATGTTCTTCAGCAGCACCACAATTCAAAAGTATCACATTTCTTCCATTGTCCGTATTCCATGCTTCAAACGTTTACAAAAACCAAACCACACTCACTGCCATTGAGTCAATGCTGACTCATAGCGACCCCCTGTGGGTTTCTACGACTGTAGCTATTTATGAGAGTAGAAAGCCCAGTCTTTCTCCCACGGAGCTTCTGGTGGTTTCGAACTGCTCACCATTCAGATCACGTTCACATGCAGATGAAAATACTGTGGCTTGGGTCAGGTATATCTTCATTCTCAAAATGACATCCTGGATTCTCAGTACTGTTAAGGTATCTTGTGCAGCAGAATTTCCCAATGCAGTGCGTTGATTCCTGGACTACCGTCTCCATGGGCATTGATTACGGGTCCAAACAAGATGAAATCCTTGACAACTTCACGTTTCTCTCAGTGTATCATGAGTTACTTATTGGTCCAGTTGTGAGGCTTTTGTTCTAATTTACATGGATTTATAATCCATACTGAAAACTGCAATCCTTGATTTTCACCAGCAGGCGCTCCTGGTCATCTTCACTTTCAGCAAGCAAAGCTGTGGCATCTGCGTATTGCAGGTTGTTGATAAGCCTTCCTCCAATGCTGATGCCACATTCTTCTTTATAGTCTAGCTGCTTGAATTATTTGCTCGGCAGACAGATTGAATAACTATAGTGAAAAGACACAACCCTGACTTACACCTTTCCTGATTTTAAGCCAGGCAGTATTCCCTTGTTCTGTTTGCACAGCTACTTCTTGACACATGTGCATGTTCTTCAAGAGCACAATGAAGTGTTTTAGAATGTTAATGTTTTCCTTCTTAATGTTATCTGTAGTTGTTATTATCCACACAGAAGAATGCCTTGGAATAATCAATAAAACACAAGTAGACATCTTTCTGAAATTCCATATACTTTGAGTAAAGATCCATCTGACATCAGCAATGATACCACTTGTTCGAAGTCCTCTTCTTCTTCTTTTTTTAAATCATTTCATTGGGGGCTCCTAAAACTCCTCACAATCCATACATCCATCCATTGTGTCAAGCACATTTGTACATTTGTTGCCATCGTTATTTACAAACACTTTCTTTCTACTTGAGCCCTTGGTATCAGCTTCTCATTTCACCCCTTCCCTCCCCCAGCCTCCCTTCCTCATGAACCCTTGATAATTTATAAATTATTATGATTTTTTTTCATGTCTTACATTGACCAATGTCTCCCTTCACCCACTTTCCTGTCAGCAATCCCCCTGGTAGGGGGTTACAGGTAGATCATTGTGATCAGTTCCTCCTTTCTCCCCAACACCTTCCCCTTACCCTCCTGGGAGGGCTACTCTCAATATTGGTCCTGAGGGGTTTATCTGTCCTGGATTCCCTGCGTTTCCAGCTCTTATCTGTACCCATGTACATGCTCTGTTCTAACCAGATTTGTAAGGTAGAATTGGGGTCATGATAGTAGGGGGAGGAAACATTTAAGAACTAGAGGAAAGTTGTATGTTTCATCGGTGCTATACTGTACCCTGACTGGCTCATCTCCTCCCTAAGACCCTTCTGTAAGGGGGTGTCCAATTGCCTACTGATGGGCTTTGGGTCTCCACTACACACTCTCCCTCATTCACAATGATATGATTTCTTGTTCTGGGTCTTTGATACCTGATACCTGATTCTATTGACACCTGGTGATCACACACACTGGTGTTCCTCCTTCATGTGGGCTTTGTTGTTTCTCAGCTAGATGGCTGCTTGTTTATCTTCAAGCCTTTAAGACGCAAAATGCTATATCTTTTGATAGCCTGGCACCATCAGTTTTCTTCATCACATTTGCTTGTGCACCCACTTTTTCTTGGCCGATCGTATTGGGAAGATCAGCATCATAGAATGCCAGCTTAAAGAAATAAAGTGTCCTTGGGTTGAGAGAGTACTTGAGTAGAGGCCCAATGGCCATCTGCTACCTTAATACTAAACTTATAAATATATGCACAGAGATTTATTTCCCCACCCTCATATATAAATATATTTACATATGTGCATGCCTGTTTTTAGACCTCTATAAATTTCCTTAGCCTCCTAGTCCTTTCCTCTATTTCCTTTTACTTTCCTCTTGTTCCACTATCATGCTCAGCCTTCATTTGGGTTTCAGTAATTCCTCTTGGTTACATTGCTCTTGATCAAGCCCTACCAGGCCTCTTACACCTCCTCGCCACTGATTTTGGATCACTTGTTGTTCCTTTGTCCCTGGGTTTGTTAACACCACTTCCTTTCCCTCACCTCCCCCTCTCCCATGTCCCCCCAGAACTGTTGGTCCCGTTGTTTTCTCCTCCAGATTGTTTATCCAGCCTATCTTATCTAGATAAACCCGCAGAGATAATAAAATGCACAAAAACAAGACAGAGCAAAACAAAGTAACAAAAGAAACAAAACAACAACAACAACAAAACAATGACAAATAATTGAAAAGCCTGTAAATAGTTCAAGGTCTGTTTGTTGGCCTTTAGGAGTGTTTTCCGGTCAAGTCTGATGGGGTACCATGCCCTGGCCCCAGTCTATTTTTGGTACTCCCTCGGGACTTCCTTGCTCTGCTCCCCTTACTGTTCTGTTGCACACCCTTAGTGTTTTGCTTCTGTGTGGTGGGGTCAGATCAGGCACAATTCCCACCCTGTGTCTCTAGTGTTGTCCCCTGTAGGGCTATGGGTCAGTGAGGGATGTCATGTCTCATAGTGGGGCTGGCCATATAGTCCTTTCTGTGCATTGGCTGCTCTGAGCAGGGATATGGTCCTCAAGACTTGGTGGGCCATGATGTGCTCCACTCTGTTTCCTCCCCCTTCATTTGCTCCCGTGTGCTCTGATCAGACATGTCCCTCTCCCTGAGCTGTAGCTTCAGTGCTGTCCTTTGAAGACTTGGATCCTAATTTAAATCTATCTCTGAAAAGATATTTTTTGAGATCTCTTCCCAGGTTTGTGCTTTAAGGACACATTTGTCACATGTGGACAAGGATTCATGCAAAAGTCCTTATTACTTGCCATAGAATTTGGAAATACCTCCTGGCTTATTCGGGTCTCAGAAAGCACCACAAAGGAGGTTGGAATTTGAAGTCAGTAGGGTCGTGGATTACTGGTGAACTTCTAACCTCAAGGTTAAAAGTTGAACTTGGAATCAACTTAATGGCAGTGGATTTGAGTTTGGGATCAAAATCTCTAAATAATTAAAAAGGAAGTTTCCATAGAATAGCGCCTGTACCTTATAGCTACAAGCAATCCCAATCTTACCATTTTTGAAAAGTCAATTTAGTCAAAAGACTACTCAACTAATTTCTTGGCATGGATGCATGTGAGGAATATCAAACTGTTTGAATCCCATGTCAAGTTTTTGATTCCCCTCCCAACTTTTTTTTTACATTTGAATATTTCAGTGAAATCAGAACATACATATCTAATAGTTGATGGAAATTTTAGTAGAAAAATATAAATAATATAAAATATAGCTATTGTAAATTGATAATGTATCTTACGATTAATGACCACTTATAATTGTAGAAGAGTCCCTGAGAAGTACAAGCAGTTCATGTGCTAGGCTGCTGACTGAAGGGCTGGAGATTCAAGTTCACCTAGAAGCACTTTGAATAAAAAAACACGGCCACCCACATATGGAAAATCAATCCCTGAACCCTCCGTGGAGCACTGTGCTACTGGCTCATAAATGAGATCATCAGGCTTCAGAGTCAACTTGAGCCTGTGTAGTTTTGTAATTGAAGAAACATGATGATTTATGGAACTTACTAGATTGGATCTGTTATCTAAATTGTGGTTTGATTATTAGTTCCTGTGAGAAACAAGAACACCATGTATCATTTCCTTCGACAAAATTACCAACATTCTATATGTCAGTTACACTAACCATCTCTAAGGTGGGCAATGATCCGTTATCTAATAAATAACACTGGCATGAGGTACAGTGGTGCTTTGCATATTATTTCAATTTACAACTAAGCAGGTAAAGGGGGTGGTGGGGGTTGGGGGAGAACTAGTGAGGTGTACCAAGACCATGGGAATTGTATGTTCACTTTCAGTATCCTCTTTGCTGCAGTCGCACATCCATCATTAGAATAAGAGTCTCATTTCAAAATCCCTGGTTCCTCAAATCCCCAGAGCTAAGAGCATTTACAAAGAACCCATTCCCTTTAGAGACCCAGGATCAACAAAGGCATTGCAGAGAAACTCTAATGGTAAATGTTAACTGGACTTTTGTGTACTAGCAAATTCCAATTCACACAATCATCTTTCCACAGGTTTAAAAATTTGGTCTACACATACCGAATCTTCCCAGAGAAACATGGGCATTACACAATACAGGTAAGAATGTACAAAGACTTTTGCAATATCAATTTTTAGAAAGTTGGAAGAGGTGGGGATGCAGGTGGTCCCTGAGGTCATTGATTGAACCTGGGATGTGACCTGGTGGAGGCTCTCTAAAAAGGGAAGTGCCATTAGAAAGTTAGAATCAGATCGATAGTTAATCTGAGATAAATAAGGGAAGCGGAGTTGGGAGACCATGGTTATTGTTCTTCACGGATATAGAGGCATAGAACCCTGGCACCCCAGCGGTCAAAAGAAAGGGCTCCATGCAGCACTGCTGTTGCATCAGAAGGTTCAACAATGACCTTGGATGGAATTGGAGAGGAAAGGTAGGAAGAGGCATGTATGTTTAGGAAGTGACAGGAATTCTCCAGCTGTATGCAAATACAAAAGGGAGAAATCTTTTGGATTTGTTTTATTTATTTCTGTTTATTCTTTTGAATTCAATTACCGGACTTGAGAAGTAGAATAAAATAAACTGAATTAAAATTTTATTTATTGACTGAGTACCCTGAAACAGTCATTCTGAAGCTCTGGGATAAAGGCTTGAAAGAGATTCTTTATTGCAAAATTTCTCGGAATCTTCAGTATGCTAATGAGCATTGGGGATATTTGAGTTTAGACTATACCATGATACGAATACGAATACGAATAATTTCTCTATGTTATAAAAGACTAATACTACTGAGGCAATTAGCAAACTTTGATTACAGCCTATGGATTAGCGAACTCGTGGAACTGCTTCAGGGTTAATTTTCTGATTTGTAGTAAGGTTATTTAATGTCATTGCTTTTCATTTTTTTAAATCATTTTATTAGGGGCTCGTATGACTCTTATCACAATTCATACATACATCAATTGTGTAAAGCACATTTGTACATTCATTGCCCTCATCATTCTCAAAACATTTCCTCTCCACTTAAGCCCCTGGCATTAGGTCCTCATTTTTCCCCTTCCTCCCTGCTCCCCGCTCCCTCATGAGCCCTTGATAATTTATAAATTGTTATTTTGTCATATCGTCCTGTCCGACGTCTCCCTTCACCCACTTTTCAGTTGTCCGTCCCCCAGGGAGGAAGTCACATATAGTTCCTTGTAATCGGTTCCCTCTTTCCTACCCACTCTCCCTTTACCCTCCCAGTATTGCCACTCTCACCACTGGTCCTGAAGGGATCATCCTCCCTGGATTCCCTGTGTTTCTAGTTCCTATCTGTACCAGTGTACATCCTCTGGTCTAGCCAGATTTTCAAGGTAGAATTTGTATCATGATAGTGGGGGTGGGGGAGGAAGTATTTAGGAACCAGAGGAAAGTTGTATTTTTCATTGTTGCTTTTAAGGAAATACTCAAATATTTAGAGTCAAAGGGACATCGTGTCTGCAACTAACTAAAAAATATACACACATGCAAGGAAGGTGTCTTTTAAAAAGTTTGTGGAAAATGGAGTGAAAAGAAAGGAACTTTCCCGTGAACTTTTGGAAGTGCCCTTGAACATACACATACCTGTTTAAAGACAGAGAGGGGGAGGAAGCAGACAGTAAAGTGTTCGTCTCTGAGGTCTGGATGATTTTGTACATGGCTTTGCAACCTTTCTGTAAGTATAAAATCATCTCTAAATTAAGAAGCATTAAGCGGTGCATTTAGAAGCACAGACGAGTGGTCTGGAGAGCTTTGTGTCTAAGGTAATCACGGTGACAGAATCTGGCCAGAGACAGTGCGAAGAGTGACAGCGTGAAAAGCGCAATCAGGATTGATGACCGATAGGGGCAGCGACTGGACAAGGCGGGGGCAGTGGGGGGTGTCCAAGGGAGCTGATGTCAAGGAGTTCAGGAAAGAAAAGGATGTTTTGAAACTGATCGTGGTAGCAATCGTACAATAGCGCTTGGTGTGACTGAACTATGGAATGATATGATATCTGTATTAACTCCCAATAAAACGGTTTTGAATATATAGATATCCAAAACAATAGACATGATAAAAGAAAAGTACAACCAGTGATCCTGAATTGTCCATATATAAACTGATGAATAGGGTACATGCTACTATGTATATTTTCACCAAAATTCAAAAAACAACAGCAACATTTTTTTCTTTGCAGGGAGTACTGTGGGGGTTCTGGATAATTTCCTAGTTCCCATGGCTGTTGTGTTCTCAGGTTTGCGCAGACCAGAGGCCCTGAGAGCAGTGCTAACTCAGGTGGCCGCTCTCGGTCTCTAATAGGTGGTGCTGCGGTTACAGCGCTGAACTAGACCTCTCTGCAGACGACTACAATGTCAGCCTGCATCTCTGCACACCTGAAGGCCTTAGGAGTGTCATCCTTTCTGCAGCCTGGCACGGTGGCCATCTGAGAACGCACAGTCATCACCAATCAAGCCAAGCCCTCGAGGGCAGAAGCAGCAAATTCCTTTGCTCTGTCCATTATTTCTATAAGGTTATATTTGAAAATAGCACTTGACTCATAGGAAGTTAACAGAACACACCTATTTGCAATTTCTGAGTCACGTGACATTCCTACTTACAGTTCAAAAAATAATTCCTTTTTTTTCCTTTTTGGTCTTTTCTTCTCATTTTCTTCTCAGACTCTGGATTTGCCAAGTAGATAGACTGTAGATCAAACAGACTCTGGATTTACCAAGAGTAGATTGTAGAGTTTGTATTTTCCATCATTTGTCCACATCGGAAGGTCTCTTAAGATAGCAAAGCCATTTTCTAGTCAGCAAACATGGGGTCTGATGTAAGTTCTTAATGGGAGGTGGGTATCCCTTATAGCACATCTGCCCAGACAAAACTTGCCAAGGATGGAGGTGGGGAAGGGAGGGAGCACCCGCTCCCTCTGCAGACTGAACTGGGAATCACTTGATTCATACTTTTTATTGAGAGTGGTCAATTCAGAGGTTGGTCTTTAAGAGGAGGTTGCTGGTGTGTGTCCTTCAGCATGAATTGCCACTTACTTTCAGTGACGGTCCCCGAGTGGTCTAGCCTGTGCTTGACCACTGACAGAAACGTTGGCAATTTAAGGCCACCCAGCAGCCTGGGGGGGAAAAGGCCTGGTGACCTGTTTCAGTAAAGAGAATGGCCAAGAAAGTCCTATAAACAGTTCTCTGAAAACATGGAGTCATCATGGGTCCAACTTGTCAACGGGTTTGTGGGTTTTTTGTTCTGTCTGTGTGCAGAAGATGCTGGCCTTGGAAACCACAGTTCTGAAGTGTCACCTTTCACACGTGCAGGACAATGGTTTCCTTTCTTGTGTCTTTGCAGAGCGTGGAGGACATTCAGAAACAGACCTTCTCGAGCCTACAGGAATTGATCTCCAAATACGAAAAACCGAACCAAGGGCTGGCGACTCACCTTTCCAGGCCGATCAAGAGAATGAGCAGGTGCCAGAGATGGAGAAGGTCGCAGATGAAGTTCAATGATATCTATGGTAAAAACAGAAAAATATGTATACAAACAAACAAACGCTCCTGTGGGAATCCTGAACAGGCCTTCGTCCATTGTCCCTGCTGGCCTGCTTTGTAGAATCAGGAGCTCCGTCCTTTGGTGCCTCCGCTCTGCTCTCGGAGACAGGTGCTGCGGTCAAACTAAATCCCAGGCGACGAGGAGCGCTGAATCCGCAGGCCGTTACTGAGTAGTTAGTGCATTTCCTGCGGTAGCTGTCTGACGCTGCCTCCTGGGAGGATCAGAAGGGAAATGTGGAAATGATGAGCTTCAGCCGGGGAGCTGGGACAAATATCACTCACTCCTTGCTCCGTTCAACAAGTACCACTTGGAGGCTGACACAACTAAAGCAGCAGCCAATGTTTGTTAAACGAACCAATTATTATTGGTTAACAGCAGACACAAAAGTGTTGGTTTTTGTCGGAAGCCAAGTCCACATGAAAGGACGGGTGGACACGGCCAGAGCAAATACACAGATGGACAGGATTTTTCAACGAGAAAAGAAAGCACCTCTACTCCCTCCCCATGGCTCAACCTGTGATGTTTCGACTGATATTTGTTTTTTATTTAATCATATTATTGGGGGCTCGTACAACCCTTATCAAAATCCATCCATCCATCCATTGTGTCAAGCACATTTGTACATTCGTTGCCCTCATCATTCTCAAAACATTGGCTCTCCACTTGAGCCCTTGGTATCAGCTCCTCATTTCCTGCCCCCTCCCCACTCCCTCATGAACCCTTGATAAGTTATAAATTATTATTATTTTGTCATATCTTACACTGTCCGACTTGACTGCTATTTGTTAAACATTGCTTTATAAAGTATTAGGTGACAAATTATTTCCGGGGAGAAGGAGGAACCATGCAGTGGGTTCTACTTTGCACTGTGAACCACACGGTCAGCAGTTCAAACACATTAGACATTCCATCGGAGCAAGAGGAGGCTTTCTATCCGTGTAAGATTTGCAGCCTCAGAAGCCCACACGGGCGCTTCCACTCGATCCTCTAGGTCGGCTATGGCTTGGAATCAATTCAATGACTGTGCGTTTGGGTTTTGCTTTTTGGTGGGCAAGGGTGAGTACATTTAAGCGGAGAGAATTCGTGTCCTCATATCATATTGGGAGTAACTCCTCTCGCTCCACCTCATCATTTGAAGCCTGCTCACAGAGGAGCCATCAGATGGCACTTGGGTTGAATTTAACTCAGACTTGCCGCGACATTTACACTTGAACACTGCTTCCTCGTGGTGGGATGTGTGGTCATCTTCTCAGTGGAAGAGCTTTCGGTAATAAAGGGGCAGGTGGTGGTCGTGGCGGTGATGTGCTGGGAACAGGAAACGACAGTAAAGCTGCCCTCTAGGCTGGCACAGCCAGCTTCTCACCTCCGCGACAAAAGGTCAGGTCTTTCCTTATTAAAATGTAAAAATTCCCTATTGCTGCAGTCCGCCCTTGTTTGCTGCCTGGCACTGGCACTCCCACACAGGGAGTATGCACCCACAGGGAGTATGCACCCACGCACAAAACGTTTTCTCTAGGCCCAGCTGCAGACATGGCCCTTTCCCACCAACGTGGCTAGGCTACCCTCTAAGTATAAAAGGTGTAGATCAAGAAATCCAGAAATGTACCTGGCCTGCAGCCTTTAGCTGTCTAGGGAAAACTTGGATGGGGAACTATTAGGTGGTTGGGGTGTTGATAATATTGATTGCCTGAGCAATGATACAATATTGACAAAGTCCTCAGAGAACTTCCCCCAAGAACTGAGTGAGGGTCCCACAAGGCAATGTTCCTTGTGTGGTCAGCCCCTGGCAGAGGGAGCGCCCAGTCCTCAGCCACTACAGGTGGCAACACACGCTCATCAGCTCACCTTCTTTCTCTGTCTCCCTCATAGGAACTGCAGAAGTTCTTACTCTGAGGGAGGAAAGGGGTTTCTGCTGGTGGGTGGAGACCTCTGGGGCAAGAAGCTCTGAGGCTGGACTTTGGAAGGACTGCTATGTTGAGCACCCCTGTGGTGACTCTGCGGTAATCATTTATTTTAGAAGAATTAGTACCAGGCTAGTCTCAAGGACTTGAGAATAAAGGTTTCCCAAATGCCCAACTCTTTCGAGAAGTTATCGTGCTCAATTTCCCCCACTCCTGCCTGAAATATATTTCCTCACATCCCTGGGTTCTGTGACTCCCTGAAACGTTCCACAGAAACTCACACAAGGTAGGAGAAATGTCACATGTGGGTGACAGTCCCACATCTGAAGGTCGGACAGAGTCCAGATGCAGGGTCCAGAGCCAGAAGCCAAAATATGTCCCGAAGTCACAACCGATCTTCTTGATTCTACCGACGCTCAGTCAGGAAGCTGAGATCTGGGTTTTCCCATAGCAAGGCGGTGTGGGTTAGACCCAGCGCACGTTAGAACCATCCAAGGAAAGCCAGGGATGCTGTCGGAAGTCACGCCCTCTACTAAGGTTCAGTCTTACAGATGCTCCTGTGGCTTGGTTTACACCCTCTGCGGGGATAGAATCCAAAGACGCCCCTGAGGAAAGGGTGTGACTTTGTTCACATCCTCTTCCAAAATCAGGTCTTAATTTTACTCTAATCCTGTCCATTGGCAAAGAACATGCTAGAAAATGAGATTATAGCCACAGGCATAAAGTATAGAATTATAAGACATCAGATAAGGAATTATGGCTACAATTGAATTATTGACTACAACTCAACCCTACATTTCGGTGTGGCCTTGAGACTGCCCTGTGCCTAGGAAGAGGCCTTCCATCTCTTGCAAGCGCTGGATTGATGTGATTCCTTCCTTGTTTCTTTCTTTCCCAGAGAACTGTCACAGCGAGTATATGGAGGTCTTGCCTTAAAAGGAGGAGGCGACAAAGCAAGCTAAAGAAGAGATGCAGACGACCCTGCTTGTTCTGTAGGTGCAGATCTGGAACGCCCAATTCCTGTGGACAACTCCAGTCTCTTCTGGCCTGTAGCCGGAGATGTTCTCTCCACCAGCGCCAGAGATCACTCCCCATGTTCCTGCCTCCTAGGTAGACCTTATAAGACGCTCCAAGCCCCTTTCCACCCCTCACTCTTCTTTCATTGAATGGGACAGCCTGATCCCATTCATCTTGATATATGAGAGGCACTGTGACTTCACTGTGCAGTTAATTCCTTCCTTCAAACTGAGTATTCAGAGGGGCAGCTTCGTACAAAGGAGACTAGACTTGGCAACAAATTTACAAGCCCTGAGTTCCAATCTTGCCACCATCATTGACTATGAGACTTTGGACCAACCACTTCCCCTCTTTGGGTCTCAGTGCCCGGGGCAGTTACATAATTTGTCAACTTGCGAAGAGGGGGTTCTAGCCTGCCAATCAGGTCATAGCCAACGAAGCTACTGCGTGGGCATGGCCTTCTCCTGAGGATTCCGGGAATTCCTGACTTCATCGCTAGAGGTGGGACACACACTCTCTCTCTGCTTCCTCTTCCTGCTGACAAGCCACATGGAGCTACACTGATGGAGCCAGAGCCCTGGAGCTGGAGGAGCCACATGGAGACCCACGCCAAGTCTGAGATGCTTCCACAGTCACTGGATCCACTCTCAGTGGTTCTCAACCTTCCTAATGCCACGACCCTTTAATACCTGTTCCTCATTGTGGTGACCCCCCCCCCCCCAACCATAAAATTTTTTTGTTGTTGCTATTTCATAACTTTTTTTTGCTACTGTTATAAGTCGGGCGACTCCTGTAAAAGGGTCGTTCGACCCCCAAAGGGGTCGAGACCTACAGGTTGAGAACCATTGCACTGGGTTGTCCACCCACTGACCTGTGATCTTCCTGCATTCAGCATCATTGCATGTGTTGTGTGAGTGTAAAGAAGAATTTATGGACTAGTATCAGACATATGAGCTAATATAGGACTTTTGGACTTGATCTGGAGTGGACTGGGATGTTTTCTCAATATACAATTGCTCTTATAGCTAAAGGTCTTTGTTATACACCTATGAGCCTCCCTGGATTTGTTTCTCTAGTTAACCCAGACTAGCACATTCTAGTTTACTATCAACCAGGAGATTGGCCTGAAGGAGAGACAACTGCCCCAGCTTCTCTGCTGAGTCAGGTGGTGTCTGGTGGCGATGAAAAGTCCAGGAGGGATGATTCGTAAGTCAGGATCGAGCCTCCCATTACAGCCAACGCATTTGTGCTCCAACCCAAACAGACCTCAACCATGGTGGTGGCCCTTTTATTCTCATTACTCGAACTCCCCTCCACACTTCTCCCTTAGCCTGGACTCTTCTCCATTCAGCTCTTCTCCTTTTTTGCATTAATCTTTCTGCCAAGCATTGCCCTAGATGCACTTTCCCCCTGGTTTTGCCTAATGCCACCTCTTCACCAAGCATCTGTGCTACGTACATGTGGTTCTGTACAATAATGTACATGGGGATTTACAAAAACCATTCTCCTACATGGGGCCCCAAAGCAAGACTGGCTCTTCCTCCCTGACGTCTTTCACAGTGTGCAGAAATGTGCGCCACACAGAGCTTGTGCTCACGAGCAACTCGTGGAAGCTATTGACCCGAAGCTGGGGTGGTGGACCTTCCGCAGATGGAAGTATTAGCATATCTGAATCGGCTGACTTCAGACTTAAACTGAAACTCCATTTTAAATTAAGATGTTCATTTCTGCATTTCTGAAGAAAGCAGTTGAACATTAAATAAGGAAGACTAAAGAAGAATAGGTGCATTTGAGTGACGACACCGGCAAAGACTATTGAAAGTAGGGTGAACTGTCAAAAGAAACGTCAAATTTGTCTTGGAAGAAGCACAGCCTTGGAGGCCAGGGGGGTGCGGTGTCACCTCAAGTACTTTGAACAAGTTTCAGGAAAGACCAAGCCCTGGGGAAGGACATCAAGCTTGGCAGAGTCGAGGGGCAGCCCAACAGACGAAGGCTTTCGCAAGATGGGCTGACACCGTGGCTGCAATAATGGCTCAGAGCCACTGTGAGGCTGGTGCAAGAGGGGCGGGCGTGTGGCACTGTTGGTCACAGAGTCACCATCACTCGGACCCAGCGCAATGGCACCTGGCAGCCGCAAAACAACAAAGAGAGCCATTCTGCCTTCTCTCTTTTTCAAAGACTTACTTCTGGAATTACAAAGAAGACACGAATCAGAATGTTGAACCTAGATAAAGAATTGTTCGGCGCTTGTTAACCTTGTAATCAGTGACCTGCCCATGCCCTCCTCATCCCCTTCCCCACGCTCAGCCAGATCGACAATCAAGAGCTGGGCACGGTCTCGTCTCAGGCGGCTGCTCAGTGGGAGAGAGACGAGGCTTTCCACTGCTGTGAACATGCACGTCCTTGGAAACCCACGGCGGCGGCTGCACTGGAATCCAGGGAATCAACCAGAAGCTAGTGATCTGGGTGTTGGGGACATTGAGTTACAAAACCTTCACATCAAAATGTTTGCACAGTGTGTTTTAGAAGTGCTGTCATGGTCAAGTTGTAGTTGGAGATAAAGAATCAGTGTTTGCCATATGGTAAAAAAAATGTTTGGAGACTGATTGTGGTAGTAAATATATAATTCTGCTGGATGTGAGTGAACTATGGAATTATTTGATATATGTATTAATCCCGATTTAAAAAAAAAGAATTACGTCAGACTGTTAGGTAGGTAGAGGCAGAAACCAGGGGCTGTCCCTCTATATGCCAAGGCCTCCTTTCCCCCTTGACAGGAAGTTGGAAGCCAATCAAGGCTGGAGGGCAGGCACAAATTCAGGTCCTTGAACTGGAAAGCCAGTACATCTGGGTGGGCTCCCATCGAGGCCAGGTGGGCTTCATTCAGCCAATGGGGTCAACTAGTATGGTTGACCAGGCCTCCCAGAGGTGGGGGGCTAAAAGCCAGAATGGGGAGCCCACCGCCCTCTTTTCCAGCTGCTGCTGGCTCTGCTGCGGTTTCTCCACCCTCAGTTCGCCACATGTGGGTGGGAAGTGCCCTGAGGGGGCCTGTGTAAAACCTGAAACTTCTTGTATCCTTCATAAAAAAACACATTGGATCACAACCAGGCTTCAGAGTGGATTCTTTCTCGTCTGAAGCCAAGGACTGAGGTATTTCCCACCCGAGGAATCTAACAAGGAATCTAACCTCACAAGTTTTTTTAAAAAAAAAGAATTAGTGGGTTGGCATTCTATGATGCTCACCTTCCCGACACAACCATTGAAGACAAAAGTGGGTGAATAAGCAAATGTGGTGAAGAAAGCTGATGGTGCCCGGCTATCAAAAGATATAGCATCTGGGGTGTTAAAAGCTTGAAGGTAAACAAGTGCCCATCTAGCTCAGAAGCAGCAAAGCCCACATGGAAGAACATATCAGCCTGTGTGATCACGAGGTGCCCAAGGGATCAGTTATCTGGTGTCAAAGAACAAAAAATCATTTATCATGTGTGCTCACCTCCAGAATACAATCACTGAAGACAAATGGGTGCATAAGCAAATGTGGCGAAGAAAGCTGATGGTGCCCGGCTGTCAAAAAGGTATAGCGTCTGGGGTCTTAAAGACTTGGAGGTAAACAAGCGGCCATCTAGCTCAGAGGCAACAGAGCCCACATGGAAGAAGCACACCAG